GTGAGGCTCACCTAACAAGTCTATTTTCCCTATATGGCAACACAGCCTTTTTGTGTTAACACTAGACAGCAATTAAAATTCTACTCCTGGTTGATTTTAAGGAGCCACATCATGAAAATTAAAATGCAAGAGCACAAAAATGTGAAAAGCACGTTCTATGAAGAAGGTACTTGATTATGGTATAAGAGGTAAGGCAAAAAAGAGAGAGAGAGAAAGCAAAATACAGTCTTGTTCCACCTTAACTATAACAAAGGGAGTGGCTCAAAGTGGGTCACTACACATACAACTGGAAATGGTGAACACAAAGGCACTATAGTACTAACTTGGAAATTACAGGCACATTTCACTGAGAAAAGTGATTTACATTTCTACAAGTTACCAATGATGAAGGCCAAGTCTCATGTTTTGAAAGATTTCATACTTTTTTATTCAAAATATCTTAGATATATAAAATGCTTACACATTAAATTAGTAATTGAATTGTCTCCTATCATCTACTCTTTCAGAAAACTTTCTTGTTTACTGTACATTTTTTCTACCTGGAAAATTCTTAATGCTCACGGCAAGAGTTATCATTTCTTTTATCACAGAGACAGGTGACCATTTAAACTGTAATATCTGTATTTGGTGATAAGAGTAAACAAAATAATGGTATAATCTAGATATCAAAATTTGCTTTTATTTGATGGAAAGAGGGTGTGTGGGAAACACACAAGGTGCTCAGGGCTTACTCTGGGCTCTGTACTCAGGGATCACTCCTGGTGGTGCTCATGGAATTAATATGTGATGCCAGCGACTAAAATTGGGTCATCTTCATGCAAGACAAGCAATTTACATGCTGTGCTTATTCTGGCACAAAAGGTATTTTTAAAATTTTCTGAAATATAAATATATATATGTAAATATGATAAGGCACAAAAACATAAATACACTCTAATCCCAAAATTGTTTTTAAAACAGGAGAAATATGAGAGAAAGTGATACTACAGCAGGCTGAATGTATGCTTTGATTGAAGGAGTTCTAGGTTCAGTCCCTTACCATATAGTTCCTGAGTACTACTGGAAGCAACCCTAAGCATAGAGCCAGGGGTAACCCCTTGCACTAATGAGTATGGTCCCTAAATTCTCCCAAATAAAACTAGGAAAAATTAGACTAACTGGCCTAAGAAACAGTAGATGGCAGGCAGGGTGCTTGTTTTGCATGCAGCCAACCTAAGTTCTATCCCTGGCACCATATATGGTTCCCCAGAGCCCTGCAAGGAATGTCAGAAAGAAGCTTTGAGAACAGCTGGGTAAGACCTCCTAGTCACTCAGAAAAAAAGAAATTAGCCAGATATAAAAGTAGACACTAAATAGTAGTTTTATATATTGGTCTTCCTTTTCTCACCCAGCTTCCCCTGGTTGCTGATGCTGGTGTGATGGCAAGGAGGCACATGCATGCCTGGCTACAGTGTCCGCACACATTTTTTCCTACCTTAAGTCATTGCCAGACAAGTCAAACACTTTAAAAATAAGAAAACCTTGATTCAAATTTTCAAAAACTTCCTTCAGGGGCTGGAGTGATAGCACAGCATGTAGGGTGTTTGCCTTGACCAGGGTTCGATTTCCAGCATTCCATATGATCCCAGAGCACCACCAGGAGTAGTTCCTGAATGCAGAGCCAAGAGCAACCCCTGAGCATCACTGGGTGTGAACCAAAAAGCAATAAATAAATAAATAACTTCCTTCATACTTTCTCATCTTCAGTTTTCACTTTTTCTTTTTCTGTTTTTCTATCTTCTCTCACTCTAAAAACATCTACAACCAATATCAATGAATTTGTTATTCTAATGGTTTTGTACTAGACTAAAATTTTCATCCATATTCCATGTTAGCATTGATCTATTTATTTATTTATTTATTTATCTATCGTTCTTATTGCATCACAGCCAGTGATGCACAGGGGTTACTCCTGGCTCGTGCACTCAGGAATTATACCTGGTGGTGCTCGGGGGACCATATGGGATGATGGGAATCGAACCTGAGTCGGCTGAGCGCAAGGCAAATGCTCTACCCTCTGTGCTATCACTCCAGCCTCTACTAGCATTCTTTTAATAAAATAGTAGAGAGGGGAATGCTGTGATTTAAAGAAACAGATGTGGAAAGGCTTGCTCTTGTTATTTTGTGCTGGGGCCCAGCGGCACTATGCATGGAGACACTTCGTGACATGTAGCACCTTGGGTGCAAACCAGGGCTCTTATATGCAGCAGATGTGTTCTAGTTTTTTGAGTCGTCTCTCCCATTCTTAAAATCTTCTTCTAGAAGAAACCAAAATAAGGTCAGAGTATGGGCAGAGAGATAAACATGGAGATAGGAAAAAAAGGTTCATCATGTGCTCTTTAGAATGATGGCAGTGGGGTAAAAAACTTAATGCCACTCAGAATCAATACTTTTCTCTTTCATCTGAGGAAAAGTATCTGTTAGTCATTAAACAAGAAGGAGTTAGAGTAGGGTACTGGGGCATTGGTGAAAGTATGAAACAAGAAGCCCTAAAAGCAAGAGAAAGGAGTACTGACCCGTGCCAAGGACAAGCTGCAAATGGAAACCAGTCATTTCGGCCATCTCTACACAGTTGAGCAGTGTGCTTCAGCCAGGCTAGGAGGCATGTAAACAGACTCCTATTTTTGTTTTCCCCTAGTCCCCTTTACCTCATTTTTGCACCCAAACTAATCTGCACTCCAGGTTCAATCACTTACAATGATGAATAGCCAACATATTTCACCCCCCTCCTCCCCTTTGACTTTCTGTAATTTCTGCTCTGCAACTTTCTAAGGGGCCCTGTCAATCAGAATGGGAGATGAGCTTATTATTTTGAACCTTATGAAAGTTCTATTTTTATAAGATGTGAATGGTTAAAGATCAGGGGAGCAGGATGAAATGAACTGATTTTAAAAAGTCAGAAGATGCTTTTTTGTATTTCCCTTTATTTGAGTGCCTATAAGGTCCAAAAAGACTCAGGGCTCAGTCTCACTGGAGGCTTCAGCTTGAAAGAAGAAAGGTTCTCAAGCCTGACTATGGCTTCTTAACATTTAATTTTCTGTATTATTTTTTTCCTGGACAGGCACAGTGTCAAGTTGTCAAGGCTACAAGCAAAATTCAAAACAAGAATGATGGGAGAAAGGGGTTTGGGAGGAGCAGGTTAAAAAAAAAAAAGGAAACAAAACCCACACAATAATTCCTTGATTAGAAATGAAAAACATCACAATTGTTTTCATTAAAATTAAAAGCAACATAAGAAAACAGATGTTCTCTCATCTTAAGCTCAGAACTCCATTTGGCCAATCCTCTGTTGAGTTCCCTAGGCGTTACTTCTTAAAAAAAAAATTATTTCATCCTCTCATCTGGACCTGCAGTTGACTATGTAAACAACTTTTTTTTAATTCCATATTCATAAAGCTACCTTAATTAAGAATGTTCTACAAATTTGAAGAAAGTTGGGGATAAAACTCTGAAAACTCCCTAGAAGAGAGATTAGAGATTTATATCAGTGGGACAAATGCCTCAAAGACCACTCAGGTATTTTTAACCATTCTTAACATGGTGTATAATAATTTTCAAGTAGATGATCACATAAAAAATAACAACATTAATACCATTATTAATATGTCTTATGAGCCACACTGAATTCATTGTTTGAAATAACTGTATCAAACAACTTTGTGATATTACACTATTCAGAGAACTGGGGCTCAAGGAGATGGTCCAACTCAAGCCAATGAGATATTAAGCATTACCTATGCTTAATATCTCTGTTATTTCACTCTAAAGTCAGTGCTCCTTTCCAACCCCTTACATTGAGAGACCTCCTGATCAGTTACTGCACCTGCACGGCATCTATCCTAGCACTTAGGGAATTAAAGAATAGAGTAGATTTTCTAAAAATTAGAATTACACTCTTAAAAGTGCAGAAGTGGGGCTGGAGAGATAGCACAGTGGGTAGGGCATTTGCCTTGCAAGCGGCCAACCTGCGTTCGATTTCCAGCATCCCATATGGTCCCCGAACACCACCGGGAGTAATTCCTGAGCGCATGAGCCACAAGTAACCCCTGTGCATCACTGGGTGTGACCCAAAAAGGGGAAAAAAGTGCAGAAGTGATTTTTCTAACTGCAGGTGTCTCCCCCATCTTGATAGCATCATGCTCCAAATAGAAATGAAGCATTGAAAATGACAATGACAGCTTCAAAACTCTTAGGGACTTATTAATGTTTTAAAAGAAGAAAGTTTTAATGAGAATTCAGAGAGAAACCCTAGGGTGACCAGTTAGAAAATTAATGAGAGACACAGCCTCGTTTTCAGACAAACACCATCACAAATGCTTTCAAAGGTCAAGCTGCAGAGAGTGAGGTAATGCTGTTTGGGGAGTGAAATAAACATTACTTTGGTCTTGCCCTGGGACGCTTTTATCCCCTCCCCTTTTTCTTTTTCCTTTTCATTCAATGTCTCACTGTGAAAAATCTATATCCGTTTAAGTAGAAATTGCTCTCACTACCCTATATTGCTCATTCTCTGAGAAAAAGCATTTATAACCTTCCATTAGGTTTGCAGATTTTCTCAAGACCCTTCTGCCTGGGCAGACACTATTTTCTTACAAGGTTAGAACTTTTAAGAGCATGGAAAATGACGTTGGATTTTACTTGGCAGAACTAAGAGGGCAGGGAAGGTAAGGGGGGGGGGATGGGGCTGTGGGGAGAAGGAAGGGTCTCTTGTTGAAAATAATCTTGATTTTCCTTCCAATTAGACTGCACAAATTTAACAGTTTAATAGATAGTCTTAACAGTATTTCAAGACTTTTTTTCTCTCTCTTTCAAAATACATTTCAACAGCTATGCTGTTTTCAAATGAACTGAAAGGAGTACTGTGTTCCAAAGGGACTAGGATGGGCTATAGCATATTACTGGAGAGATACAAAAGCTGCTTTATTTAAATGTATGTTTGCCCTGGCAAGAATTTGGAAACCTACCTGTACATAATCCACACTTCGTCCCAGTGCTCTGAAGGCTGTGTACATGACTTCTCTTTTTCCGCCCCATTTTTGCATGATGCAAATACTTTTGTTGGATAAGACCAACTGGGTGACATGTTGCGAGCTTTCTTTATGTGACTCGTCCGTCTCACCAGGACCCTTTTCATGGAAGTTGTTTTTCCAGATGTAAGTGGCTGATTTGTCCCTGCCCATGACTTCACTGAAGATGTCCATCATGTAAACGTCATCTTCTGAGTTCCCATCTATGACCATGACAACTTTAATCCCAGGGTAGGTTAGCCTTTTCACAGATTGCAAACATTTCCTTAAGTAGTCTGGATCTTCTTGATATGCAGCGATGCAAAGAGCAACGGTTTTATTCAATTTAATGGGGGTTTCTAGTGATCTTTTCATTTTTCGGTGCTCCAAAAAGGCAAACAGGCTTTGGATGATGAGGTGTGATGCTAAGAAGGCACCATAGAGTCCAAAAGAGAAATAGTAATTATCGGTTTGGATAAATTGGTAGCCAACAATGTAAGCAGCTGTGATTCCGAGGAGAAGAGAGACTCCAAAAAGTGTGGTTCCAATTATTCTCAGGATACATAGAAACCTCTCACAATGCATCTGTAATAGAATCAAATAATACTTTCAGTTAACCATCTTGTTCCATACTTGTTACACCCATGGTATCAGGGGGAGACCACTGGACTGAAAGTCTTCTAACTCTGAGTTTCTCAACTCACTAGCTTTGTGATTTTTCTGTACTTTAGTTCAAAGATGTGCAAAACTGGGCTAAGGGTATCCTTCAGGTACACCTCAGAGGTCTAGGTCAAGAACCAAATAAGATCAATGTATAAAGAATATAATAAACTATATTATGTAATAGATTCACAGAAGCAGTATTTTCAGTGCGTTAGATCATTTATTTAATGATCCACTCCTATATGGTTACAGCTAGGCAGGGAGCTTCAATTTCCTGGTGATCTAGACCATCTTTCTTCCTACATTATGTTGCCCGTCACCCCTAATTCGTTGTAAAATATCAGCAAGAGATTTTTGCTAAGACTCTCAAGTGTAATTTCACTTTATCTGCAGGGGGAAATTTTCTGCTAACCCCCTGCCATGCACAGGTTGGAATTCAGGATGTCCGGATGCCAGTATTAGCTCCTCCATCAACTACCTACATGACCCTGCTGAGTCACTGTGTCTTTCTGGAGCTGGAGTTTTTAATTTGCTAAATGAGAGGGTTTAGACTCAATTATTTCCAAAATCTCTGTTGACATTTTTTATGCCTAGTAGTCCTACACAGACGACTATAACAATAATCACAATAATAACCCTATAATTTGGAAATGCGTTGCTTTGACCTGTTAGCCATTTTTTCCATTTATCATCACTAATACCACATGGTCACATCCTATGAATCAGGAACCTTACTGAAGCCCAGTAGGCATGTAAGGTTGAACGATTAAAAATTAGAGATGGCACTGTATTTTCTTTTTACAACTGTTTGCCAGCTGAATAGCTGTGGCACAATAGACCACAAAAATACACTGTGTTTAATTGTTCTACTCCTTGGAAGGTGCTGGATCGAGAGCACAGCAGGTAGAGCATTCGCCTTGCACATGGCAGACCTAGGTTTGATTCCTCCATCCCTCTTGGAGAGCCCAGCATGCTACTGAGTATCAAGTCCGCATGGCAGAACCTGGCAAGCTCCCCATAGTGTATTTGATATGCCAAAAACAGTAACAAGAAATCTCACAATGGAGACATTACTAGTCCCTGCTCGAGCAAATCAATGAACAATGGGAGGACAGTGCTACAGTGCTATCCCTTGGAAGGCCTGTGTATCTCCAAGTTGAGGTTTGAACAATTCAAGTATAAGGTTGTTTTTTTTTTTTGCTTTTTGGGTCACACCCAGCCCGGAAATACACATGGGTTACCCCTGACTCTGCACTCAGGAATTACTCCTGGTGGTACCCAGGGGACCATATAGGATGCTGGGAATTGTTCTCCAGCCCTGGTCATTTTTCTTTACTAGTTTTGTTGGGGATTTTTTGCTCTGTTTCTGGACCACACTTGGTGTGCTCAGGGCTTAGTTCTGGCTCTGAATTCAGAGATCACCCTGGGTGGGGATTTGGGAGACCACATGTGGTACTGAGGATGGAATCCAGGTTGATGCATGCAAGACAAATATCCTACCCACTGTACTATCTTCTTGACCCTGAGGTCAATTTTATTATTCTCCAAAGTATATTGAAGTTTCAGTAGAAAAGAAGTAAAATTTTTAATAAAATTATATTTTTCTCTGGCATGCTGACGTGCTTTATTCCTCTTCTAAACAAAAACTGCAACCAGCAGCCTAACTGTTGTACATGAAGAATCCCCATCTTTGGTCATTCATACCAACTTCAGAGTCTGAGGTACACTTACATATAATATTAGTAATGTTTTTCTTCAATTCAGCTAATTTGAGGGTAGCTGTTTGTTTTTGGGTGGGGGCCATAACCGGTCCGGTGATGCCTAGGAGTTACACCCAGCATGGCTTGGGGACCATGATGTACCAGAGATGGAGCTCAGGTCTAACATATGCAAAGCATGTGCTCCAGCCCTTTGAGCAATCTCCTTGATCCTCAACTAATTTTTGAAAATTAAGTGTTTTTATTTTTATGCAAACTCATACTAAGCAATTATCACTATAAAATCTCTTTCTGGACATCCTATTTATAAATTTGTATTCTAAATGAAGGCAAATTGAATAGCTACATAATGTTAAATATAACCTTGGCTGCTACAAGTTTTGTGCCTGTTGTTTATGACCTCAGGATGGGCCATTTGCATCCTATTCTTTGCTATCACTCATTGAAGTAGCTTGAGATGACAGACATTATACTTTGGGAAAACTCAAGTGAGGCTGCTCCCCAAGTATGCCCCTTCACTTTCCGAACACAAAACTGTATGAGGTGCTCATGACATCCAGTCCTTTGGAAATTAAAGATGGCATCTTTCCAATGTGCACTTTTAAAGGAAAGCATGGGGAACTAGAAAGACACATATTCTGCCTGCAGGAGGCCCGGGTTCAATATCTGGCACCACATGGTTCTGCACATATCCCTCAGGCACTGAACTAGGCCAGGTATGGCTCCCAAATCCAATTAATTAATTAATTAATGAAGAGAAGGTTGATCTCCTTCTATTGTTTTTTTCCCCTTCCCCAAGCTTGATGTATATATAGTAATATCCTATGAAATTGCAGAGTCCAAAGATCATGAATGCTTAACCCTTGAATTGCCAAGTAGGACTCAATCAGTCCAGAAGGCCCACCACTCAATATTATCTTAGCAAGAAATAATTTGTTTGCTATTTTGTTATTTTTGAACCCATTGTGCATTCTGGGTTTAATTCATCCTTACACAACCTAGTAATTGCTTTCCTTTAGTTAAAAAAAAAAAAGAGTCGAGAGGAGGGCCTGGAGAGATTGGTCAAATGGCTGGAATTCAGGGGCCAGCAGAATAGTACAGGGGGAAAGGCACTTGGAATGCACATATTCCTTCAGTTGTCTGGTCTAATTGTGGTTTGTCCCTGGCACCATATATGGTCCCCTAAGTACTTCCAGGGATCATTTCTGAGCACAGAACCAAGAATAGTCCTTGAGCACAGCCAGGTTTGCCCCAGCCCACTCCAGCACCGTAAAAGAGTTGGAATTCAGTCCCCAGCACGGCACTGGCACCCGCCAATCAATACCAACAGATGTAGCTTTATGAATACCACTTAATGAACACACATTGCAGGTGTGAAACACGGAGCCACTGACCAGCAGTGTCAGTTCAAGTATTGTGAGGCATGTCCCTGATCCCCTAAGCACTGCTTGAGAGTCCTCCCCAAAGGACCAAAAAAAAAAAAAATTAAATAAATAAAAAGAAAAGAAAAGAAAAGAAAAAGACAAGAGTACTTGTCAACAACCCTTCACAGGTTTTAGTGAGAAATAAAATTCAAAGTGTTTGTGAAATTTAAAAAAAACAAACAAAGACAAGATAATGTCAAACATCAGCTAACCAGGAGACTAAAGGAACAACAAGCAAATGTGTTTCTTGAGCTGGAAGTACCTACTTCCAAGCTATGTGACATGTGGGTCTGATAAAACAGAAAGGCCAGGCTTCTGGAGAAGAGAAAAAAGCTGACATTTCTCCTGGGTGACTGCAGAGAAAGGCCAAAGAGAGCATCACTGTCATTAATCTCAGGAGGAGATGCTTGAACTCTGCAAAAGACACTGACCATTGCCTGCCAGGACTGGGAGCACCAGCCTCAGAACCTGTCATTTCCAAGACATGAGTCATTCTCATAGCAGTGAGAAATTTCAAGGCGACTACAACTCTCTGCCAGGGAGAAGCGTAAGTGTGTGTTTCGCTTGTGTTTAAAATCAGCATCTCCAGCAAAACTCCTCCCTGCCATTCTTTTCCATTATTCACATTTTCCTAGCTTTTATCAGCACACGTGGACACAGAGCAGCCACAGAGCATCTGCTGGCTGCAGCCGGAGTGGGAACACCCTCTGACATCATAGCAGTCAACAGAAGGTCCTTGTGAAGCCTGGGAAAAGCTGCAAGTGAACAGCGGCAGTGTGGTTAAAACTGAACCTTTATTCTGGAGGTCTCGCATTGTGGCCTGGTATGACAAACATGGCATTGCAGGGCCAGCTGAAGGACACAAGTTGGGGTGTGACTGAAGGGAGACATGGATCTCAAGAGAGTGACACACAGGATGTGCTTCCTCATAATTTCCCCTGGGAAAATTCACAGACATGGACACCATATGTGCAAGACTTTCTGAGATGGTCATCAAATTCATTATTACATAAGCAAACACTGCTAGTCAAGCATCTGGCACTATTACTAAACTAGAAACTACATGTAGTTCAAGGACAGATCTCCCCAAAGCACTGTTATATAGAAAAATGATTGAGGGGCAAGAGATATTGTTCAGTTCATAGAACATTTGCCTTGCATGTGGTCAACCCCGGTACCACATATGGTCGGTCCTCCAAGGCCTGCCAGGAGTGATCCAGAAGCAGGAGTAAGTCCTGAGCACCAATACATGTAACCAAAAACAAACCAACAAAAATCAGAAATTTTTATGAGATTAATCATTAAGAGAATTTGGCATTTTCTGTCAATGGAAGATGTCATCCAACTATTTAATTTTAAAAATGGACTTGATACCAATTATTCACCAAGTACTATTCTTCAGAAAATTCTAGGGAAATCCTTTTTTTTCAAGTTAAATCACCATGAAATACACAGTTACAAAGCTGTTCATGTTTGAACAAGTCATACAAAGTTCCATCACTCATCCCTTTACCAGTGTACATTCCCACCAGCAATGCCAGTTTCCTTCCAACAACCCTCCAATCAGCCTGCCTCTATGGCACTTTTCTTCTTATTTTTTTTCTCTTTCTCTCCCCCCACTCCTCTTCTGGGTATTATATACGGGTACTGAAAGGTTATCATGTTTGTCCCTTTACCTGCTTTCAGCACTCAGATCTTGCCCAGAGTGATTGTTTCCAACTATCTTTGTTATAGTGGTTCCTTCTCTATCCTAGCTTCCCTCCCCACACCCCACCCCCAA